CAGAAAGAAAGGAAATATAGAAAATATTTATCATCTGTCTGTCGGAGTGAGTGGATTGCTGCTTTGCGAAATAAAACTAAATGTTTCTCTAAAAAAAGAAATTGTTATTGGAAAACACTGGTAAAGGAAAACGACGGAAACCCTAAAAATTTGTGGAAAGTAATTAATAAAATCATTTGTAAAAATTATGATAATGAATCGTCTCAGGAACATGTAGACATCACTTGTTCTCAATTTATTGATCACTTTGAAGAAAAAATCAACAAAATAAAACGAGACATCAAAGTAGTTGACAAACCAGTTTTTGATGGATTTAAATTAAACAGTGGCTCTTTGTTTTCAAATTTTGCAGTGGTTTCAGAAGAAGATGTAAAAAAAAATGTTCTTAATCTGCCATCTAAATCTTTCATGTTAGACGTCCTTCCTACTCACATTTTGAAAAAACATATAGACCTCTTCATCTCGTTTCTCACAAGTATAGTTAATTTATGTTTGTATGATGGAGCACTTCCTGTTTCTTGATACCCATCTTGAAAAAAACAAACGCAGATTTTAATGAGCTCGGGAACTACAGACCAATATCTAACATTTGTTTCATCTCCAAAATCATAGAACGTGTCGTAGTAGGTGAACTTGTAAATCATTTAAATAAACATAACTTGTTCCCGATTCATCAATCTGGATATAAACGTTACCATTCTACAGAGACGGCATTGTTATATGTTTTGTCCGAATTATTTGCCTCCATCGACAAACAGAATATTGCTCTACTCGCATTTTTGGACATGAGTGCAGCGTTTGACTGTGTCGATCATCAAATTCTATTGAACAGATTAATTCACGACTTTAGCATTGCTGGAACTGTTATCAAGTGGTTCGACTCCTATTTGACTGGAAGGACTCAACAGGTATTTTTCAAAGGGCATCTGTCTAGTGTAAAAACAAAGTCATCCGGTGTGCCACAAGGTTCAATACTTGGACCTATTTTGTTCAAACTGTATACAGTTGATGTATTTAATGTAATAATTGATACTTTTGGTTTTTCTTATCATGCATATGCCGACGACATTCAAATAATAGTCAGCAGTGAACCAGATCAGTTCGAAAGTGCAGTTGAAAGACTAATAAAATGTTTGGCTGAAGTTGACACATGGATGTCAAAAAATTGTCTAAAACTTAATCAAAATAAATCACAGTTTTTACCAGTGGGCACCTGGCAGCAGCTATCAAAAGTCAAAATTGATTCAATAATGATTGAAGATAATGAGATAAAATTTTGCAAGAAGGCTACCAATTTGGGATGTATTTTTGACATTAAATTGAAACTTTGTGACCACATAAAATTGCAATCTAAATCATGTTCAGCACAACTTCAACAAATATACCGAATAAGAAAATATCTGGATCAAACTGTAACACAATTATTGGTACATACGTTTGTCCACTCGAGATTGGATTATTGCAACAGTCTGTTTTATGGGCTGCCAGAAAGGTCTATCGCTGACCTCCAGTCTATTCAGAACAGAGCTGCAAAGGTGATTGTTAGAGGCAGAAAATACGGTCATGTGACGCCAATTCTGAATAGCCTCCATTGGCTAACAGTGAAGAAACAAATTTTTTACAAAATATGCGTCATTATGTACAAGGCCATAAACGGACAACTCCCAGAATACCTGGCAGATAGATTCATAAAGAAGCCGCTGTCTTCGACTGGCAGACGCATGCGATCAGATGACGTCAATTTGTTGATTGTACCAACTACGCGGCTGCAGACATCGTCTAGAGACATTGCAGTGTCAGGGCCAATCGTCTGGAATAGTCTGCCAATGTCGATGAGAATGTCAAAGATGAACATTGTTGATTTCAAAAAGAATTTGAAAACTTATCTATTTGCGATGAACGATTGTAATTGATTGTATCATATCGTCTATTGATGTACATTATTTCACTGTTCGTTTATTATTTTTCTTTTTTCGATAGCGCTTGTGAGAGATATTTATTTTAATAGACGCTTTATAAGTGTTTGATAATAATAATTGATAATAATAATATATATATATATATATCAATTTGGATGAATTATTATTGATAGAATATTTTAATGGAGCGATGGTTCAGCATAGTATATAAGTTTATTACATGCACAGATAACACACACTCAATATGCCATACATTTCATCATATAGAGCCAAAGGTTAATCAAAATACTTGCAAACTGCAGAAAGAAACTTAGATGACTTAGACGGACGAAGTTGAAAGTTAAAAAAGTCAGTGTGCTTTTATTGTAAAGAATAAAGATGAATAACAAGAAGGGTTATGACTTTGTTGTTTTATTTCATCAACGTTATAACATCTTATCGATTTCTTCATTGCCAATAGTTCCTCTCGAAAGAGAAAACGATTTAATAAAAACCGAGTTAACGGTATAACTCTACGACGAATACAACGATTCAACTAACCTTAGTGGCCGACGTTTGATATTTTTATTTATTTATTTTTGTTAATCCATTTTGTTAACAAAAAGTGAATGAGTCAGCCTAGCAATAAATGCTTATCTAGGGTTGACTCCCATAAAAATCATATTCGGTTGAATTATTAAGAGGATATATTAATTTGGTTGAATTATTGATATGATTAGTTCTGTTATTGATGGGATATATTAATTTAGTTGAATTATTGAGAGGATATAGTAATTTGGTTGAATTATTGACAGGATATATTAATTGGGTTGAATCATCAGCACCAACCTTCAACGTGAGTTGGATCTGCAGCTACCTCGGCTTCTTCATTCACGCGATTGAAGACCTGGCGTGATTGGTTTTTTTGTCAACGCTAACTTTTTTTTCAGATCATAACCACCACTTTCATCATCACAACTATAACAATCATTGTCATCATCATCATTTTCATTCTCATCATCATTGTCATCAACTATCATTGTCATCATCATCATCACTACCATCCTCATCCTCATCATCAACCTCTTCGAGACCCGGACTGGACAGGCCATAACTTTTGATCATCATCTCATCCTTGCTGCTCTCGAGAGCGTTGAAGAGTTTCTGATGGAAGTCACTCCTGTCTTCGAACTGTGGCAGCAGGTAGGTGGCCTCGTTGGAAACACGTGGAGGGATGAGCAGGCTCGCATCCGGGTAGTGCTTCTCGATCAGTGACGTCACTCTCTCCACTCTTTCATTTTTTCTATCAGGCGTGAGACCTTTTAAGATGAGATGTGTGAGCGTGCGTGAGTGTGTGAGGAGTCTGTGATTGTGTGTGGATGTGAGATCGGAAGGTTCTAGCATGGTTTTGTATAGCGCACAAGCAAGCTAGACACAACAAAAGACGTTGGCAGCAGTTAATTTTAACGTTACAAGCATTTATTAAGCCTAAAATAAGCTTAAATGAAAGACAATTTCTGTGGAAAATTCTCTAAAAAAATTAAATTTAGATAGAAATCAGTTGTTTACTGTGAGCTGACAAAAGAACATCGGCGGCTTTTATTTCTAATGCTAGTGAATATAAAATAGACTAATTGTGTATTTGATGATTCAGGTGAAACATCCCATCCTCCTTGACACACTACTTTGTAATATAAACTATTTGCTAGAACAACGCGTTGGAGATTAGTAATATGTGACAAAAAACGGTGGTTATCGTCTATCGGTAAGTTATGTTTAGACAAGTCTCCCTCGCTGCTGCACATCCGAAAGTTACATTCTCGATGTTCCTCTCATCGAGGATGTTGCCAGCTAACGAAGTTAGAGCAGATGACAACATTTTTCTTCCTTGCTTTTATTTTAAAACCTTGGTTGATACAAAAAGCAGCACTGCTTCAGATGACATCAGAAAAATAAATATTAAACTTACTAAAATATTTGATTATCTTTTGTAAGCTGAAAAAAATAGCATCCATTTGACATCGGCGTTGGAGTTCACCAAGGCTCGATTCTCAGTCCACTGTTATTTATAACTGTGATGGAAGAAATCACAAAACCGATACGCACTGGTGACATTTGGAATCTAATATATGCTGATGATATCGTTTTAACAGCCACGTCTGAGCAGAATGCAGCACAGATGTTTGAAGATTGGAACACCAGACTCGCCGATCATGGATTCAAAGTCAACATCAGCAAAACCAAAGCAATGAACACTGGTGAACCCATCCAATCCACAGCTACTGGACAATGGCCCTGTTCAGTTTGTAAAGCTGGTGTAGGTAACAATTCAATCAAGTGTCAGCAGTGTAACCAGTGGTGTCACAAACGTTGTTCAAAAATAATTGGTACTTTATCTAGTGTCCAATTTTGTTTGTCCTGCTTGCATCAATCCACAACAACAAATTCGAAATAACAATGTTTTTGAAGCCATTAAGGTTGAAAAAGTCACATCGTTTCAATATCTAGGGGATGTTCTGGATTGTACTGGAACAGCTGAAGCTGCCGTTCGAGCACGCATACGTGCAGCCTGGAATAAATGGCATCTCTTTGCCTCTATATTGATGCGGCGTGACATCCCACTACCACTACGATCAAGACTTTATCAATCTGTGATACGTTCGGTGTTGTTATATGGTGCAGAAACATGGCCAATGACAACCAAACTGGAACAACAACTTCAACGAACCGACATGAAAATGCTCCGATGGATGCAACGAATTAGTCTGAAGGACTACATCAAATCCACCAAAATCCTGCGTCGTGCTGGTTTAGATGATATAAAGGACGAATGCCGGCAACACCGTCTGCGGTGGTTTGGTCATGTCAAACGAAGTAGAAACAGTGCCCTAACTTCTCTTGCAGATGTTGAAGTACCTGGCACACGTCCTAAAGGCCGTCCAAAGAAGTCCTGGTCGCAAATAATCGAGCAAGACATGAAAGCTCTAAATTTAAATGAAATGGATACAAGTGGTCGTCTAATTTGGCGCAAAAAGTTGATGGCAAAGAAAACAACGTCCTACCTCGGGAAACCGGGTCTCTGGACGCAAAACGAAGATTGAACTAGCTTATTAACAAATCAATCAATCGACCGACCAACCAACCATCTAGTTCAATAGTGAGTCTGTACCCTTTGCTGAAAGTTTTTTTGAGGAACATTGGTGAGCCCGAGCAGCAGAGCTGACCATGCCAGATGATGGCGATGCGGTCACTGACAATGTCCGCCTCGTCCATGGCGTGGGTGGAAATGACAGTGGTCCTACCTTTGATGGATTGAACGATGAAATGAAGTGGAAGAGTGCTCCAGTGGTTGGATGAATCGCTGATTGGTTCAATTAATTAAATAAATAACAATTAGTTAAATAAATAATAATTGTTTATTACATTCAAAAACAAATAAGCTAGACCAAGAGAGCATTTGACAATCCCACACATTACATCAATTATAATTATTAAAACAGTTATTACTACATTTTTAACAAAAATCCATTACCAAGTTTAGGTCTACCGACAAAACTATCAAGGTATAGCCAACATGCAACCAATATACAACCACCAACATACAACCAACACCTACGTACAGCTACCAACACATCCACCACTAACGAACCACCACCCACCGGCCCTGTAGGCCTGCAGAAGATTCCAGATGGCCCTCCTCGTGTGGGCGTCCACCCCGGTTGATGGTTCGTCAAGGATGATAATGCGTGGTGAACCCAGGTAGGCCAGACCGATTGAAAGAAGGCGCTTCATCCCGCCTAGTTAATTGATAGATTGATTGATCGAACTAACAATTGATTAATTAATTAATTTATTGAACACTTGATTGGTTGTTTGATTGCAATAAGACTTAGTCATAATGAAACAAAAAATTATAGCCCAACAAACCAGTGATGACACTGATATTAATCAATTACCGAACGAACAACACCAAAGACGATGACGACCACAATAACAACAACAAATCAGTCAGAAATTAGCCAAGCAACAACAAACCTACCTGACAACTCTTTAGCGGGAGTATCTATCTTGTTGAACAGGTTCAAATCCAAGGTCAATCGGTTACACTCACTAACAAGAATATATCATTAATTTGAAGAGAAATTTTTAAGCAATCAGTAAAAAGAACAAACACATGCAAGCGCACACTTAAGCACGCACACAAACATTCACACACTCACAAAAACACTCCCACAAGCACATGCAAATATACAAACAGACACATGAGAAGTGTAGCATGTTTGTGTTTAGCGAGATGGCGGCACGTACCCGGTAATTTTTTGTAATTTGGAAGGCTTTTTGATTTTTTGCTTCTGGATTAATGAGTTCTTTTCTTTATTTTACTAAATTTATCTTCTTCTTTACCTCATTATTATTATCTTTATTATGCCTCATTCAATCTAGGTACTTTCTCTCAAGTCTTTCTAATACTTTGTCTCCGGCGAGAGTAGTCCGGCGACGAATCTTTTACTTTAATTTTTGATTTTACAATAAGCGCAATAAATCTTATTCTAATACAACTATCAATAAAATGAATATAATTAGTAACAACAGTAATAGCAATATTTACTCCTATAACTCTTTTAGAACTTACTAAAATTATTAACTCTTTGTCATTTACAATTTGTTCCCTAAATCTAATTCCCAATTTACTTAAGGAATTTTCTTCAATATTTTATCCTATCATTTTCAAATTAGTTAATTTATCTCTTTCCACCTCTAAATTTCCCACTTCTTATAAGAATTATATTGATATTGCTATTCTTAAAAACTCATTTTTAGATCCTTCCTCTTTATCTAATATAAGACCTGTTACAAATATTTCTTTCATATTTAAAATAATAAAAAAAGTAGTTTATAATCAATTATCTTTTTATTTAAACTCAAACTCCTTTCTACCTGTATCCCAATCTTGTTTCAGATCTCCTCACAACACTGAAACTTCCTTACTAAAAATACATAATAGTATGACATCCTCTCTAATAACAATAGTAATCTTACTTTTCTTCTTGACTTTTCTTCTGCTTTTGATAATGTTGATTATACTATCTTCTTGAGACTGCTAAATCACTCTTTTAATATTACTGATTCTTGTCTATCCTGGTTTTCTTCTTATCTTTGTAATCGTTTTTCTTCTGTTGTTTTTAATAATGCTGCTTCTAACTCCTCTACCCTTACTTTTGGAGTACCTCAAGGTTCTATCCCTGGCTCCTTTCCATTTATTTTCTATCCTTATTTATACTTCTTTTCCTCCATCTAATCTCAATAGTGTTCTTCATAATCTATCTCTACGTCTCTCTCCTATTATCGCTTAGTCTGACTCCATGTGTCTTAAACTTAACCCTTCTAAATTTGTTTTAATAAATTTAAACACTATTACTATTCCTTCTATTACCTTCCTGATTCTAAAACTTTTGATGTTTCTCACAAGTTTCGTAGTCTAGGCTTTATCTTTGATTCTAGCATGTCTTTTTCTTCTCAGATTAATATTGTTGCTAAAAGTTCTTACTTTCATCTACGTAGAGTAAAAAACTTTTGCCTTTTCTTGACGATCCTACAATTTTCCTTCTTGTTACTTCTTTAGTTTTATCTAGGATTGATTATTGTAACTCGCTCTATTATGGTCTTCCTGATTCTACACTCTATCCTTCAAGTAAGACTTTTTTAACTCAGCTGCTCGTCTAGTTGCTCGTGTCCCTATCTTTTTACATATATCTCCATAATTTGTTCTTTTGCACTGGCGCCTTATAAAATAGAGAATAATATCTAAAAATTTGCACATTAATGTTTAAGTCTCACTACAAATCATACTTATTAGATATATTAACTGAACCTAAACGCCCCGGTTTACGATCGTCTTCTTGTTCTCACTTTTTCTTAACTCGTGTTAAACACTCTTTTGTTAAATCTGCGTTTGCTTTTTCTGGCCCTTTTCTCTGGAAGTTTCTACCTTCTGCTCTGACTACTTCTCTATCTCTTACGGAGTTCAAAGCGGATCCCAAGACCCATCTGTTAGCAAAATTCTCTGAAGAGCGCTGTTGAACATCGCGGAAATAGCGCATTACAAACTAATTATTTTATTGATTGAAACAGACACACGCAGGCACACACATGAACAGATATACAGACGTACGTGAGACATTCATCTTTTGTGAGGCCTTTCAACCGTCCAAAAAAGAGCATGTGCTGACGAATGGTCAAACTGGTTGATTTTGGTTGGAAGGTTTAATAAATGAATGAATGAATGAATGAATGAATGAATGAATGAATGAATGAATAAAAACAAGTGAATGAATGAAGGACCAAATAAATGGAAGAAAAAATCAATAAAAAAAGTAAACAGGTAAATGCGTGATAGAATGAATAAACAAAATAATAAATATATTATTGCTTAATTAAATAATAAGATAATTAATTAACTTATTTAATGTCAATTATAAATCCATCATAAACAACTGCATTAAAATAATTTTAATACAAACAAAAATTCAATCACCAAATTACTTCACAAGTTGTTTGACCAATCGACTAATCAACCGATTACTCAATCGATCAATTAACTAACTAACCGACCGACCGACCGACCGACCAACCAACCAATCAAATAACCAACTTAATAACTAACTTACTTACTAACTAACTAATTTACTAACTAACTAATTTACTAAATAACAAAGTTACTTACTTACTTACTACCTAACTAACTAACTAACTAACTAACTAACTAACTAACTAACTAACTAACTAACTAACTAACTAACTAACTAACTAACTAACTAACTAACTAACTAACTAACTAACTAACTAACTAACTAACTAACTAACCAACCAACCAACCGATCGACCAACCAACCAATCGACCAACCAATCAACCAACCAATCGACCAACCAATCCACCAACCTCACTAACCAACCAACCAGCCAACCAGCTAACCAGCCAACCAGCCAACTAACCAACCAACTAAAAAATTAATCAATCAATTAAGTTAACAGATGGTGAGGGATTATCCAATTTTTCAATCAACCTATCAGCTTATCAATCAATTATGTTTTGCACCAAACAATAAACCATTCATCCAACCAACAAGCCAACCAACTCCGCATTCAGCCAACCAACACCGTATCCAACCAACAGCTCAATCAACTAACACACCAATCAACCAATAAACTAAATAATCAACCAACCTACCAACCAATCAACCAACCAAACAACTTACGGATCAAACAGCAGATCATGTTGAGGACACAGACTGAAGTTTCTTCTAATCTCGTCCATATTATACTCCACGTCGTATCCATCCACGAACACTTTCCCACTTGTACCTCTCAACATACCCGCCATTATCGACCTTTGTGAGCATGTGTGCAATGCTGTTCATGTGTTGCTTAATTATGCATTCCGTTGTTCAATTAAACAATGAAAAAATATTTACCAACTTCCACAAACTCTCAACTGAAAATTATAACATAAATTTTTATCAAAGAATCCAACAATATATTTAACTATCTTGACATCTATATTCGAACCAATAGAGAATTTTTTTTTAAATTTCCGAATTCTGTAAAAAGATATTTAAAACTCCATCCAATCCCCTTAAAAGCTCACATGGCAGTTGTCTTGCCGGCTCCATTGTGACCGAGGAAGGATGTGATCTGGTCGTAGTAAAAGGTGACCGTCAGGTGATCCACAGCCGCAGGAAGTTTCTTCTTGAACTTTTTGACCAGGTTCACGATGGAGATGCCCTCTCGTGCGTTCAAGGGCGCTGGCTCGTGGTACATGCTGTTCTTCGTCATGCTTAAAGGGTCAGCTTTAAAAAATTTAAAGCACTTCAAGGTAATTTTGGAAAATGTTGTTAAAACCAAGTCATATTTAAACTAGCGAGTGAGAGTGACTCGGTGTACATTTGTAAATGTAACTTTGCATCAATACAGGCTTCCTTAAAATGTCTAACTTTTACCAAAACATCGAAAACTACGATGAAGCTGAAAAGACCAATTATCACAATTATCAATCACCACAATTACAAAACATAATAAAAATTTGAACAACTTTCAAAATAACACAAACAAAAACAACAATATCAGTATAATCATAAAATTTTAAACAATAATAACAACAACAAAAGGAATATATAAATTAACACCATTCAAGTTGAGATTCTCCAACAATAATGCATTTTGAGTGGCATTGGCAGCTTCGTCTGCAGGCACTTTGCTCTGCATCATGATGGAGGAAGATTTCTTCGACTTAGAATCAGATGTTGGTAGCGGGTGGGCAGCAGCAACTTGGGAGGGAGGTTTCTTCTCGCAACAGGAGGTGCAAGGAAAGCAAACATGTTTGGGCACACCTAATTCTCCTAATTTATAGATATCCGCATTTATTTTTGATCGTTTCTGTAGGCGTGTGTGACTGTGTGTGCACACGTGTGATCGTTTTTGTGTATGTGTGATTATGTGTGTGTATATAAAACAAATTAACAAACCTGGAAAAAGAGAGTTAAGATAATAAACAGTCAGGTACGTTATCAGGGAGTCCAGGTGCATGGCCAGGAGACACAAGCCTTCATTAAAATTAGTTTTCACATGAATAATTAAATGAACCAATTAATTAATTAATTTATTTATTAGCCTGCTAAAACATTAAACGGATAATAATTCGTAACAGGTGTTTCATGTAACGGCAATGAATTAGAGCTGAAATAATCCGTGGAACTGCCGATAGAATAAACGAATTGTAAAGCTGCAAGTGTTAACATAAGTACATATGCGCGGGCACTCGTATGCAGGGCACTCGTAGACAATTCACATCACAAACAGCTCGCACCGCAAACAGTTCACATTATGAAATGCCAACGCTTGATGTTAATGAAATTTGTTTTTTTGAAGTTTACAAAAATGGTGTAAAATTGATTTTTAAATTGATTGATGGATCGATTGTGAAGCTGATCATGAGTTGAACGACAAATTGATTGATGATATTGAAAAAAAAGACTTGAAAGATTGAAAAGATTTGAAACGGAGTGCTGGAGGTATTTGTTAGCCATCTGCCTTCTTGTTCGTGAGATGTGAAAACATACAAATTCATATCAATTCCAACTTTCTTTCAATACACAATTGCAGCTTTTCAAATTCAGCGTGATAAAGTTATTTTCAGAAATTCATGACATGGGATTTTGAAAAAATTTTGTCGTCTGCATAAACTGGATTTTGAGTAATCCTGATAAAATATATACTGTCAGCAGAGATGCAAATCAACCAATTCTGTGATTGCGTGTTATCGTTTGAACAGGAAAGTGGACACTTAAAACCTTGGGGAAAACGCGAACGAAAACGAGAGTATTTAGGAAAACTAAACAAAAACGCAAAGCAAAAAATTTTCAAACAAAATTTATATTAAACGTTACCACTACCCATCACTGCTATTACTTTTAATAATAAAAGTAATATTAACACAGTTATGATAATAATAATAATTTTAATAATATAAATAATAATAATAAACTATTTTTTATACAAATTTAATTTTATTCCAACCAAAAATAAATTAAAATAAAAAAGGATCCAATTAGCGCTTTATTTTCAACTGGTCTTAAATCCTATAATTGCCAAATAACGTGTAAATATCTGTAGAAATTAAAAAGTAAGATATTAAACTATCGTAACCTAGATTCATGCTTGAAGTTTGGTAGGGATATTTGAAAAAGTTGTCCAAGGTGGCCCCCCCTGAAGCTATGCCCAGTTGGGATGTGATCTTCAACGCGCATATGATGCAGTACGGGTGAAAGAATGTGCACTGTGCAAGATGGTTGGGTGGATGAATGGAAGAATGTACATTGGATGAATGTGAAAGATGGATGGATGAATGTAAAAATGTGTAAGGTGGATGGATGGACAAAAGAATGTAAATTGGTAGATGAGCAACATAAATATAGACAAAAAAATGAGCACTAGATAAATGTGCAAGATGAAGGAATAGATGGATAGATAGACAGAAAAGTTGTACATTGGATGATTTTTCAAGATGGACAGACAGATGGAAAATTTTAACTGGATAAATGATGGATGGATGGATGGAGATAGGTACACTAGATGAATGTACTAAAAGAACGAATGGTGATCGCGACAGTATTGGTGGTGGACGGTGTGGCGATCACACATTCCGCCTGCAGCTTGACAACGGTGAAAAAGTATGTATAAACGGAATTATGTGTGGTTTCTTTACTGTAAAGAATGATTGAATGACGGATTCGTTGATAAATATATTTATATAAATATATGCAAGATATATTTTCAACGGTGGATAGTTGGATTGAATTTTGGATGAAAAATTAGCATTAAAAACGTTTGGTGATGAAAAAAAGGTTCGTTCTTCCCTATTTAAAAGATTCTACATTCAAAAAAGAGTGGCCAACGAACAAAAACAACGTTGTGCACACTTCGACAACGTTGTTTTGCCTCCCCACCAAATTTTGTAGGTAGGATCCCTGGCTGGAGTGATGGGGCAATAAATTGATGCATGACCAACCAAAAAACTTGACCATTGAACTTATGTAGAAATTGTCGGTGTGTGTATCGAATAGGCTAACAATCGTTATCATCATTAAAAAGTACTTTTAAAAGACACCAGTCACTATCATTATCATCACATTCATTATCACCACCATCATCACCAACACCACCATCGTCACCAACACCACCATCATCGCCAGCCTCTAACTAACCAGAATGAATGAAGGAAAGACGGCAAGTTGGTCAGATGCTTCAGCGGCTAACCTGGCCAAATAGAAGAAAGTCATGCTGATGATGACTGTCACGATGTTGCTCACCTTTCATAATGATGATGACGATGTGATGCAGATGATGAAGACGATGAAGCAATGATGATGATGATGATGATGTAAACGGCGTTGAATAATGACGATGATGGTGGTGGTGATGCCAAAGACGATTACAGTCGTGGTAATGATGATGACGATGGAGATGATGATGATGACGACGGAAATGACGATGACTATAAAGATTATGAAAAAAAAATTGTGTTACTGACTTTTGATCTTTGAAAAAAGATACTAAGGAAGAATGCTTTGCTGATGACGTTGATGAGCACAGAGATATCGAACAGCAGAAAAAATATGGGACTGCCACTGGCAAATATTAACTGGTTGTTATGATAATAATGATGACGATGTTGTAGTTGTTGATATTGTGAATGACAAAGATGATGACGATACTGATGACGATAACAACAATGATGGCGAAAATGATGACAGATGATGATGATATAGATGTACAATGACAACAATGACTATAAAAATAATGGCGGCAACAATAATGTTGTCATTAATGATAATGATGACGATGAAGGTATAGATGATAGCAATAATGATGGTGGTTATAATGATAGTGAAGAGGATGATAGTAATGATGATGGTGGTGATGAAAGCAGTAGTAATAATAGTGATGACATGATGAAGATGTTGATGGTCATGAGGTTCCGATGATGATCAAATATTTGGCTCATAGCAACAACTTAATGATGAAATAAAATAATGACGATGATATATGGACCCTATATAAACTGCAACAAGTACTGGGTTATACAAATTCTCTATATAAACTGAAACAAGTGCTGAAGATGACTGAAAAATCGAAATAGGTTCTATACACTCGAGAATGCATTGAAAAACTGCATATTATTCTAACTTGCATAAAATAGATAATGACAAGAATTTGGTTGGAAATATTTAGAAATGTAATAAAAAAAACTAAAAAAAACTATCCAACGCTAAAAATTCTGTAGATTTCATAAATTACTGCATTAATTATGGTCTTTTACTAGCATATATAGGAATTTAACTAACGTCGAACGTGCTGTGATTTTCATCAATAATTGTATATATATATATATATATATATATATATATATATATATATATATATATATATATATATGAGCGAATATAAAATGAATGAGAATAAATATGAACGAACAGACAAGAAGAGAGTGACAATGATCATGGGAACGGTGTAGAGGACCAAAGAGGTGACGAACCAGGACAACCAGTACGTGCATTCAGACAGACCCATTACCTTTTGTGTGTTTTTCAATTGATTGAAAAAAATTTCACAAAAACTGAGACAAACAATTTAATAAGCTATAGATCTGATTTGTGCCTAGTACACACCAGTAACAGGCAAATTACGAGTGCTGACTAGAGGCACTCGTAATTTGCCACCCCAATTTAATAATATTTTGAAAAAACTAAATTCAAATAAAAGCAATATATTTAATAAATTTTGATTAGGTACATTGGCATTAAACACTCAACAAAAAGTTATTAAAAACTTTAAGATAATAGTTTTTCTTCGCGCAACTCATGAATAATGAAATTAAGGTCCAGCCCTTGCAAAATAGTTTTTTCAATGCACAGGATTGAAAGAAAGTTTAGCCTTTCTTCCAACATTGTTGAACCAAAATAATTTTTAACGCGATTTAAACAAAAAAAACCGCTCGGCCGAACACTTTGTTGCAGGAGTGTAAGTGTACGTCCGAAGTGCAATATCTACATTTGATAAATATGCGCACCAAAACTCTCTCATTCTTATCCATTTACATAAATCAGTTAGAGTGTTTGGAACCTAATTTTGATTCAACGAGACCAAATAAGACTTCAAAAGCCACAAATTAAAATTTAAAGCGTCTAGTTGGTTAGATTTAGCACAACTTTTTTATCTTCAGCATCATTTCTTTCTTTTAATTAATCTGCAATGATCGACAA